GAGCGGCCTCCCGGCCCGCAAGCCCACACGAGCCGCCCGCCGGCAGCAGCACGGGTCCACGCCGGCCTCCTGGGCCTCGGTGCAGACCGATGCGTGTCCACACACAACGTTCGTGCACTCACCGACCGCCTCGTCCTGTTCAGTGACCAAAGACCCCGCTCTCTGGGCCCGCCACGTGGTTCCTCCGGCACCCCCAGCCAAACCCGGCCCTGTCGGCCCACGCAGGCCACAGGGCACCCTTCCCGCTCCCGCCTGGGGGTCACGGGGACTCTTCTGACCGGCCGATTCCCAGGACAGAACAGCTGGGCCAGATGCCACGTGCAGCTTTTGTCTGGGCAGCACGTGCCAGACTGTTCTGGAAAGAGGTGCCCTCGTGCCCAGCTTGCCAAGAAACACGCACGTCCCCCGCTACGGCAGGTGAGCCACCGTAACAGCCGCCGTCCCGGGGAGGCCGCCCTGCGCCGACACTCCCCTTGTGACCGACGAGGAGACAGGAGAGCCCACAGCCAGGGCGGGGGCGGCGGGAGGCAGAGCTGGCGGCAGGGTGCCACCTGGCAGGCCGTGGCAGAGGCCCCCCACTGTTCCCGGGCCACCGGGTGACAATTAGCTCCTCTTGAGTGTGTCCTGAAGTGAAGGTGACCGTCACTAGTGGCCCTGACCCTCGTCAAGGGGCCTGATCCAGGTGGAATGTGGCCCTCGGTCCTCCGCACCCGCTGGGGGGCCAGCAGGTCCCAGGTCCAGGCCCTGCGGGACACCGAGCACTTCGCAGGTGCCCGGGGACACCGGGACTTCGACCAACCCTCTGCCCAGAGCGGCGAGCTGAGAAAGCCGGGGCCGCACCCCGACTGGGAGGGCGTCCCACGCACGGCACCCGCTCGCAGAGGCCACGGGCCGATTTCACAGAAGGCGCGCTCCTCGGACGCGCCACACCAAAGGCCCCAAAGCAGCGAGAGCCGTGGCCTCTGCGCCCCGGAGCAGCTTTGGGCTGAGCGCCGAGAGCAGGGCCAGGGAAAGCGGAGGGCGGCTGCCCTCTGGCGCCAAGCCGGCAGCGGCCTGCACAGCGGCTCTGGAGACCAGAAGGCCCGTCCAGCCGTGTTCCCGGGGCCGACGCTGCCCGGCCGGCCTGAAGCGCCGCCCCCCACGCAG